GAAAAGCCTGGGGGGCATTTGAGTACTTATTGGGAAAGTGTCAGAGGACTCTCCCTTCCCATGGCAACTAAGCTGCTGCTGCTGCTGCTTGTGGGCAGCTTGCTACAGAGTCCCGGCTTGAGAATGTAGCCAGGCCCCCATGTGTGTGTGAAGGCTCTCTCTCTCCTCCCCCCTCTCTTTCAAGACAGTGTTTCTCTGTGTCACCCTGGCTTTCCTGGAACTCACTGTAGACCAAGCTGGTCTCGAACTCAAGAGATCCTCCTGCCTCTGCCCTCTGAGTGCTGGGACTAAAGGCATGTGCCACTACTACCTTGGGGGGGGGGTATTAAAATATGTATATTCCCTCTGTTCTTGTACTCTGGAAAAATGGGATGGCGGGGTGCATTCAGATCTTGCCATGTAGCCCAAGCTGCCTTTAAACTTTGAGTATCTTCCTAAGGCAGGATAAGAAGGAGAAAATTATGGGACATGAAAAAGAAAGGCACACTTTACCCTGGATTCTGGCTGAAGCTTCTTGCCAGCTGAGACCCGAGAACAGCACAGACATTAACTGTGAGGCTGGAGAGGTGGCTCCGCAGTTAAGCGCCCACACCGGGTGACTCACGGCTGCCTGGAACTCCAGTTCATCCAGCTTTGGAGGGCACCTGTGCACATGTGCTGCCCATAAAACCGTGCAGGGACACACACAGATAAATCTCCAGACAAAATCCTGTTAGATGTAGTTATCTATCGTGGGCGCGTGAGTATCTGGGGGTGGGCACACGTGCCATGGCACATTACGCATGCATGGAGGGCAGAGAACAACTTTGTGGAACTGGTTTCCTCCCGCCATGTGGGTCCTAGGAGTTTAACTTTAGGCCACAGGCTTGGCAGTGAGTACCTTTTCCCTCTGAGCCGTCTCACTGGCAGAAGTTATCTCTAATAAGCCTCAACCCTGCTGCATACTGGCTCGTCCTGAAACTCTTTTCTGTTCTGAAGCCAATGACCTGATTATACCTGTGTGGAGGTCCGTGAAAGATTAAAGGAACCTATCAGGCTTCAGCGGCACTTACCTGGAGCTGTGTCTGGACCCCTGTGACCACTGATACTCCTGCCTCAGCACCCTGAGTTCTGGGATTACAGGTGTGAGTCACCATCCTTGGCTATCGATGATGGTGTTGGCAAAGAAGAAAAATCCAAGCCTGGCATGATGTGAACAAAAAATAGATGTCCATTGAGTGTCTTTGTTAAAAGTCCAAGAGGCTACTTTAGTGAGCAGTGTGAGGCGACCTGCAAAAACGGTTCACTGTTCTTTTGAGCAGAAGACCCGCAAAACTGTGCAAATCAAGAGGAGCAGACATCCTTGTCCAGGGTCCAGCCAGATTAGTGTAGTCCACACCCCTCACCAGGAGAACTCTTTGCAACAGATGGAAAACACATCAACTACTTACCTAGTGGTCAGCCATGAAATAATATACATGCAAGCAACATTATACAGAATCAGACGATTAAATATATATGTGTGTATATATGTAATAAAGAAAAAGAGGCTATAAATTTGAAAGAGAGCAAGGGGGATATGTGAAAGGGCTTGGAATGGAAGAGGGAACTGATGTAATTATATTATAATCTAAAAAAGTTATTTTTAAAAAGAGGGCCAAAGCCGAGCCTTTAATCACAGCACTTGAAGCAGAGGCAGGTAGGTAGGTGGATCTCTGATTTCCAGGCCAGGATTTGTTGCACAAAGAAACCCTGTCACAAAAAAACAAAATAAAACAAATAAGCAACAACAAAAAGGTAAAAGACTGTTGGTTATTAAAAAGCAAACTTCCCCCCAAATTCCTCAGATGTTTGACTTACTCTCTGCTCTGCAACACTCTAGGCTTTTTACATTTCCTGCTAATCGAATCCTTATCAATCCATTTTACCAAGGAGACGTGGAAGTTAGTCCAGTGTCTGGTCCAGGATAGATTCCAGGCCTGGGACAGAGCCTGCTTGTTCTTTAATGTCCTCCTAAAGAGCTGTGTCCCTTGAAAGCCTTCCCTGACCTCCCCGACAGGAAGTGACCTCCCAGACAGGAAGTGACTTTCCCAACAGGAGTGTCCCAGATACCTTTGAGTTACAGACTGTGAGCAGCTTAGGCTTAGCTTCCAGCAGGCCTCTCATTCTGCTTGAAGAATCATGCCCACCCTCAGCCCCTTTTTCTTCTGTGCACTTCAAGGGCTGAGAGGGCCAGCCTCCAAACAAGAGATGCACTTCATGGGAAGACTTAAACCAAGAGATCTCCGTCCCTGCCCAGCTGGAAGCCTGAGCATCTATTCCAACCCCAGCAGGTGTGGGAGGGCATTGGGACCAAGCACCAACCCATCCTGGATTCTACCAAATGATCCCTTCCCTGTGTCTCAGTTTCCTCCGTGTCAAATTGAGGAGCTTGGCTTGATGAGTCCTCTAGGTATGTGGGTCCTATAGGAGTGAGTCTTCCAGAAGTTTCTTTTCTCAGGGAAATGTTAGGGATACTGGATATGCAGAGGATCCCCACATTAAAGCTGCCTACTTTACTCCATTCGCCGATGGAGCATCTGTTAGGTGAAGGCAGTTTTTGAGACATAGGGTCACTTCAGAGAATAAGACAGCCACTGGCTTTGAACTTCAGGTAGTGGGGAGCCTGTAGCTTCCACCCACCAAGACTGCAGGAGTCACAGGCCCCCAAGAGCTCAGTGGAGAGGACTGAGGGCTTGGGAGAGTGAGAGATTTTGTTTCCCTTCCAGCTCTGCCCCCTTGGGGTGGGTGGCCTTAACCCTCTCCTTCTGGAATGTTCTCAATGTCTGTGTTCCTGCCAATTCATGTTTCAAACACCACCCTTCAGTAGGTGTGGTGTCACACACCTGTAGTTGAATCAACCACAGGAGGTGTGCCTGGGCTGCATAGTAAGTCCCTGTCTCTAAACAAACAAACAAACAAACAAATAAATACATAGTAAGTCCCTGTCTCTAAACAAACAAACAAACAAACAAATAAATACATAGTAAGTCCCTGTCTCTAAATAAATAAATAAGTAAATAAACAAACAAACAAATAAATAGAAATGAAGGTGCTAGGCATGGTAGCAGAGGCAGAGGCAGTAGGTTTAAGGCTAGCCTGGTCTATATAGAGTTCTAAGCCAGTCAGGTCTGCCTAGTGAGATCCTGTCCTAGAAAACAAAAACAAAAGCTTTAGCACAGTCTTCAGACCTTGATGTTACATACGCATACACCCAGCGCTCCGGAATCTAAGACCGAAGCATCTCTGTAAGTTTAAGGCTAGCCTGGGCTGCAATGTGAGACCCTGATAACCCTTGGCAGGAGCTGAATCTGCTGGCATCTTGTTTTCTGCCTGCAAAGCTTTGGGAAATAAACGTTGTTTAAGGTAGCCAGGTTACAGTATTGTGTTGGTATGAGAGCACTGTCTGACAGGGGTCAGGGTGTGTGTCCCACTGGCCCGGGAGTCCATCCCACTCCCAGGAAAGCCTTGCAGGATCATTTATGGTTAAATATTACCCCATACCCCTCCCTGCCTGCCACTTCCTCTCCTTTCTGAAGATCAAGCCATAAACACCTCCCTTTCCCCTTCCTCTGGGGCTGTGGTCTCCCAGGAGGAGGCACTCATGTGCACTGTCCACCCTCTACTGGAAGCCGCTGGTCTAGGAGGTCCACGGAGTCTAACTCTAGTTAGAGCTACAGGCCGAAGTAGGGACACTAGGCCCTAGCCTCCCCCATAGGTGTTTTGGGGGTGACATCATGCCCGAACCTCCTCCAGATTGTTCCTCTGTGGAGTTCACAGACTGGCTTAATGAGCCCCTCGGGTGCCTGCCTCAAGCCAGCGGCCCTACCTGATGTCTGGGAAACAAAAGTAATTCCAGGAAATGGGTAGCCTCCTTGTACCGGCCTGCTCCATTTCAGACTCTGTCCCCAGGGCTCTCAGAAGCAAGGTGACAGGGTCTGGCTGTCAGGTCCAATTTCACCTGCCCAGACAGACAGTTTTAATGATGAACACATATCAGCGATCCTAGAATCCAGATTCAATGCAAGTCTCAGAAGAGGGAATGCATCTAGCCTGGCATTACTTTATAATAAGGGAAGGGCTTTCTCCTCATCCCAATTCCTTCCCTTCAAACAGCTCTGAAAACTAGGACTGATTTGATCATCCCCAGCAAAAGGATGAGCACACGGAAGCCACAGCTGTTAACCTGGTGGGCAGAGCACCAGTGCTCAGTCGGCTCTTTCAATTCTTAAGATCCAGGCTGGCTTCAAGAGCAGTTTTACTCTGGCCATTACAGACATCACTAATCAATCACGGTACGACAGACACTACTAATCAATTGCAGCCTCTTTTATTTTTATTTATTTTACTTATTCATTAAGGGACAGTGTCTCTTATAGCCCAGGCTAGACCCGAACTCTCTGTGTAGCCATACATAGCCTTGAATTTCTGGTCCTCTTGCCTCTATTTCGAACGTGCTGGGATTGTAGGCATCCTTGATTCTACCCAGATTTGGCATTTTTAAAAAATATATATAAACTTGGAGCCAGGCACAGTGGCACATGCCTGTAATCTCAGCACTCTGGGAGGCAGAGGCAGGTGGATCTCAGTTCAAAGCCAGCCTCATCTACAACATGAGTCCAGGATAGCCAAGGCTACACAAAGAAACCCTGTTTCAAAAAACCAAAGATAAAATAAAATTAACTTGGACATAAGGATTCTTTTGAAGTTTTTATTTTGGGCACTTGAGAGATGGCTCAGTGGTTAGGAGCACTGGCTGGTCTTCCAGAAGACCCAGGTGCAATTTCTAACACCCACATGGCTTCTTACAAATATCTGTAACTCCAGTTCCAAGGTATCCAATATCCTCTTTTGGCCTCTGGGGACAGAGGCCATATATGTAGCACATATATGATCATCTATGTAGTATACAGACATACATGCAGGCAAAACACCCATACACATAAAATTAAGTTTAAAAGAATTTAAATTCTTCTTCTGCATTATTGCTGAGACAGCATCTTGTTTAACACGGGCAGCCCTGCAACTCCCTGTAGACCAGGCCGGCCTCTAACTCAGACTCCCGCCTAGCTCTGCTTCCGAGAGCTGGAATTTAAAGATGTGCGCCCCACGCCAGCTCTGATTGCTTACGCCTGCAGCCGTGCCTCCCACAGCGGTCTCAGAGAGTTTGGAGCGGTCATATTGTCTCAGTTCCTCGGTCAAGCCTCGGAACTTTTTTTATTTTTAGGATTTTTAGTTTTTACTGTGCAACCCAGGTTGGCCCCAAACCCATGGGTGATCCTCCTGCCTCTGCTTCTCTAGCGCAGGCACCACACCAAGCACACCCAGTCCCCAGCCGGGGAATTTGCTCCATCCTACCTACATCCTTCATAGATAAGGAAAGCAAAGTTCAGAGAAGGTGAGTCACCACCTCTAAGCTACACAGCTCCAGTGTGGACTGTGAACCTGGGCTCCCCTAGGGATTACGGGGGCTCCTTCATGCACCCCTATCCCACTTTCCTCCAGGTTCTTTCCCTGTCAGCCTGCCAGTCCTCCCCAGGATACCGTTTTGCTGTCTCTCCTGTCTACCCTCCACGATCCTTCCTGCAGAGAAATGGCTCAACCGGAAGGCAGCTCATGTTAGGAAGTTCCAGCCACGTGAGCAAGCCACAGCCAGGGATTCTGGGCAGCCCAAGGCTTTAGGAGAAACTGAAACTGGGTGTGCTGGGGGCGGAGTGGTCACTGGGGGTTTAAAGAGCCACCACTTCCTTGGGCCTCCAGAGGGCACTGGGAAGGGACAGCCGCTGAGGGGACACCCAGGACCGGATTGAACCTCTCTGTTCCCCACCTAAGCCATGCAACTCTGTGGGAGTGGCGCGCTGCTGACTGGGACAGTGAGTACAGGGGACTAGGAAAGAAACTAAGGGTCTCAGGCCCCCGACAAGGGAGAATGCAGTGAGGAGCTCTGGTCCCAGCTCCACAACATGGTCTGTGTGACCTGGGGCTGGGCTCCGCACCCCCATCTCTGGGTTCAGTTCCTCCTGGGCGTTGGAACGAAGCCTTCCCAGCTCTCACACTGCAGGGCAGCCGCCAGCTTTGAACTGGGACTCTGCATACCTACTTACTCTTGATCCATTTGTTCTTAACTTGCTGCCTTTTCCAGACCCTTCTCTTTTCTCCTCAGTCCCTCAAATAATAGCTTCCTCGTCTTCTCACCAACTCTTTCCCCAGCCTCTATTCTGGTCCTCCGGGGTCTGCAGTTTGTTCTGGGGAGAAGGTAGCTACAACCGAAGCAACATGCAGAGTTCTCAGCAGAGTGGCTGGGGTCTTGCTTGAGGCAGAGAGACAGAGACAGGGTCCAGCTCTGGGCATTTGGCTTCAAGGTTCCACTTAAGTTTAGTGGTCCCTAAGGTTAGAAAGCCCAGAGCCACCAGCTACAGTCCCCGCTCTGTCAGATGGACTTTCCGTTAATTCTAGGCAGCTGCTGCACTTCAGTGTGAGCGTGTAGCTTTGCTGACCTCTTTCTTCTAAGCCAGGCAAATGCTCTTCCACTAAGCTACATTCCTACTTTCTTTGAGAAAAGATCTCATGTGTCCCATGCTGGCCTCAAGCTCACTATGTAGCCAAGCCTGGCCTTGAACTAATCATTCCATTGGGATTACAGACAGGCATCACCACATCTGGCCACTTTGCCTGTTTTCTTTTTGTTCTTCTCTTCCTCCTTCTCTTTCTTTTTATCCTCCTCCTCTTTCTCTTCCTCCTCCTCTTCTTCTTCCCACTTCTGTGTCTTCCTAGCTTAGTGCCTGGTACACAGTAGGTGCTTGACAAATGTTCGTTGAAGAGATGAGGGGATAGCATAGTCAATGCAATACTTGACTCGTAAGCGTGAAGACTTGAGCTTGGTCCCTAGCATCCACTTAAAAAGCTTGCTGGGGTGTCAAGCGCTGTAATCCCAGCACTGGGGAAGAAGAGGCAAGCAAACCTCTACTTGCTGGCCAGGCAGCCTAGCCTTATTGGTGA